AGGGAGAGAAACGCCTGGCACAATTCTGAGAGGCTGTAGTTGGGATAAAGGGCGAATATCGCTGACTCCATCATATATTTCTACTCCTGGGAGAGACTCGTGTTCAAACGTGTATTTAACTGTTTGGTTTGCGTTGTTCGTTATTTCAATATCCCACTCAGCTTGGAACAACTCGGTATCGAGAAGCGAGATGGGTTCAAATGAAACCTGCGTGGTATAATTCAATATCTTCCAGGCGTCCACTAGCCCCGTCCCGACCTGGAAAGGGGGCGCAGATTCGTTGAGAACAACCTCGCCTGCACTCCAAGCAACATTTCGACCACTTGCAACAATTCTTTGAGCCAGGCTTTTTGCAAAACTTGGGCCATGGAGCTCTCTACCGCCATGGTGTGCGATATATAAAGCTGCGATGCCAGCGATGTAAGGTGCCGCCATAGACGATCCACTGTCGGTCTCAAATCCTTGGTCAAGATAAGTACTGAGAATATTGTACCCAGGTGCCCCGATGTCTGGTTTCATGATGAGTTCGTTTGTTGGCCCCCAAGAAGTAAAGTATGCGGCAATTGGTCTATGCTGTGAATCTGAGTCTGATAGTAGGGGATTGCCAGTGGCATTAATGGCTGCCACGGAGACGACGTGGCGCCCGTTCGATCCAACTCCAGAATAAAACGGCCCTCTTGTTCCCTCATTTCCTGCTGCGATAGATACAAATACTCCGCGTTCAACAATTCGGCTGGCAACCAAAGCCCACGGACTATCGATGAATCCGCCGGGTCGGTTGACGCTGGCTGTAATTACATCGGCCTGTCACGAGTCAATTTGAATCCTGAAGGAGGGAGAAGAATAACATACGCCGGCAGTATATGCGTCACAGAAGGCTTGTATAAGGACGTCTTCGGTTGTATCTGATGGGGTAGGCGCCTGTGGTTCCTGTAAGCTGTAAGCTTTCTAGGGAACATGTCTGACATACATCTGAGAAGACCTTGAATATCAAGAGTTCTGCGCCAGGGGCCACCCCAGTAAACCTGTTTCGAAAACTATCAGCAATATTCGCCGGGGGGTAGTTGGCTATAATTATAACTAGCCATTCGTTTTCACCCGCTATTATTCCAGCGACGTGAGTCCCATGCCCTTTATAGTCCATGGGATTATTATCCGGCTTCTTAGGGCGAGTCCGCTCAGAACGAGAATTCCCTGTAAAGGCTGAGTCAAGGGCTCTGCATTGACGAGGGTGGGACTATGAGAGTACATTCTGGTCCTACAAGATCATATCCTCCGGCTACCTTGCATCCGGGGCCAAAACAGCCGCCAAGCTATAGGAGTCAGTAGACCAGTACAGTCATATTCTTGATTCTCAGGCACGAACCGCCAGGTGGGAATAGTCGATTCCGGTGTCCACAACCGCGACTTTGACGCCTTTTCCTCTCATTCCAGCCTCGTGAAGCTTGTCTACCCCGGTCCAATGGTGAACTGAGTAGTTCACTAGTCTATTTTCGTTGATTTCATTGGTGACATCTGGCGAGCGAGGGGTTGACAGCGTTGTGACAGGCCACACATTGGCTACACCAGGAATGGCTTGGATGAGATCAATGTTTTCAGCATATGTGGTAACCGTGGCTCCGGTAAAAATGTCTTCGCACTCAAATTGCTTATGATCACCTGCATGTAGATTATCGAAAAGTCGAGATAAGAACTGTGGGGAGTCTCCCTGATACATGAGGTTAGTACCTGAAGGACGACGGAGAATGCAGAGTTGTATTGGATACCCCGATAGTTTCGACGATGTACTTTTGTACTATCCCGTTGCCCGGTGCACCATTCGAGTTTGTCGACAGTGACCAGGCCAGTAGGTTGGTGATAGCCGCTGCAGCATTAGATAGAATGCCCGCTGCTAGCACATGAAGCACAGAGGGAACCAGCATTTTGGCTCGATGAGGGGGATCGTGAGGTATGTCTCGGGTAAACAGCTTCGTATTGTCAAGTCTGATTAGTTTGAACAAGGGATGAACTTGGAAAGAAGCTAATTAGCACCCTATTAACTGAGAGTTCGTCGCCGAGGCTTTGGGCGTTCATCTGTGCGGGACTTCAAGGAACAATGGCGGTTGCAAATGAAGCAGCAAGATGAGTGATGATCTAATACACGGCCACGACTGCCTAGAAAGATTTGTTTGAATTCGCTTCATGGCTCTTGTCCGCTTCGGCTAGATCACGCCAGGTCGCTACTATTTAGCTCTCCCATTGGTTCATATGGGGAGAGAAATCACAAGAGGAAGGAACGGGTCATACAAGCCTCTGTGCCCAGGGAGATGATACCAACCCAAGATGCAAACATGCAACATTTGTTGGCGATATTGACGAGGACGGACTGAGCCATGACAAGCTTGAGAAGACAACATGGTTTTGACATGACCTCGTCGCAAGACTCCACGCAAACGGGATGCCACCTTGGCAGATAATCATCGCTTTTCAACGAGACAAACACACGGGACAATTAGCCGAAGGGGCGTTGCTTCGATTGAAAAAATATGTTCCGCACAATGGCTAATGAGGTCGACAGGTCTTCTGTCTCAAAGAAGAAACAGGCAAATAAATGAACCACACTTGATGGTCCTCTTCCACGACTAGTCTGCAGATACCAACTTGCAGCCAGAGGTGTCGTGCGGATCATCTCACAAGAAGCCTCCCTGACTAGCGGATTGGAAGAAGAGATCAAGGGAAAGCGGGTAATCGTTCCAGAATGCTGATTGAGTGGATGAGCTGGATCAAGCAACTTTACGAATCTTGCCCAAGTGGGTACAGGTGGATGGCATACAGAAACTACGTGAACGTAGGAGCTGGCGCCATTGTTTCCGAGATTATTGGTTGGGTTACACGGGTGAACGAAAGAACAAGTCATGTACACCCACTGTATGCACCACCGTTTAGTGTGACGGTGAGTGTTAGGGAGTATCCGACAATACCGGTTTGGCTGTTGATGACCCAAGCGCGACGAGAGGACGACACGACCTGAGGCGGTTGGCGGTCCACGGTTGTCGACATGCAGAGTAGCACCGTGAGATGAGCCAATCTAACGCAAAGGCTTGTCCTCAACAAGCAACATGGGCGGGAGAAACGGTCAACGGACTACGAAAGACGACTTGACCGAATTGTACCCCCCACACGATCGTTGGTGCTGCATGCGCTTCCGCATTTCGTACCTGCGCTAAACTTTCAAGGTTGTACGGAAGTACGTACGTGCTAGGTAGACTTTGAATATTCGAAAGCAGTCACCAGTCGGGCAGCCAGTGGCTGCTTCAAAGTGGTGCATAGGCATCACTCATGACAATTGATGCGAAGTCGGCACGAGACGTGTTCCGATCTGGGCAGTTGAAGCATCGATACGACGGGTTCCGTACAAAACTCTCTTTCGCATCAACTCGACTAATAATCATCTGCCATAAGGCGTTGCTTTCATTTCCCCATTTTGACCTCCGCCATGATCGGCGCACGGAAACTCCAATGACGATCCACGGTTGAGAAATGAGACATCATCAGCGCCGCCAGGGCTTGACGCCGGGCCCGTAGCACCGAACGCACAGACTAGCTTGGAATATTCAAAGATGGGGAGCCGAATAATTAATTGTACATGCACAGCAAACCGTCATGGATAGGGGGGTTCTCGATGGTGAGCATTGGAGAATCAACTAGGTAGAGACAAGCAAGAAACGCCGAACGGTCCAGAGCAACAGGTTGGCACATTTGGATACAAATGTTGGATACAAATGACTAAGTTACCTGCAGCTTGCATTGCGAGAAATCCATATCAGCCTGCATGTGCTTGCGCCAGCCGATACTCCGTACCAAGGACTCTACCGCCACGCCACCAAGCTGGGTCTTTTCACTGGTGGGCATCACTATAACCACTTGCGCACCTAGGCATACTCCGTACACTATGCCAGGCTCACCAGTTGGCCCGGTACTCCAGACCGAGTACTAGTACGGAGCATTCCGCCAGCCAGCCAACAACATGCTGTGTTTTTAATCTACTAATGACTTGGTTAGTAGTATTGACTGTACTGAGGATCTGACTGGGTGCCTGCCTGTCGCGAGGAGGTAACCCTGTTGCCGTGTTGCCATGTCGCCGTGGTGCCAGATATTACTTGAATTAAATCCTGGGGTGGTAGGGAATACTAGTGGTACACTCCGTATTCTGTGGTGCTGGGCACGCGGTGGGCGCATGGATAACACCGACATCTGGACGTCTCTGATACAGGAACCACACCACTCAGCTCTTAGCACCGTTAACCATTTATTGCCCCTGCCAGCGGCAGCCGGCCCCCCAGTCTATTCTGAGGGTTGATTCCTGCAACCAGTCAAAACAGCCAGCCAATTACGTTGCCCGACCCCCAGACCCAGACACCCGAAATGGACCCAGCAGCCATGTTGCCCAAAGTTGCCAATCATCCAGGCCACTAAGCTAAAAGCATCCCCTGTTGCGCATCCACCGTCCATCCACTCACTCCCAGTCAGTCCATGTCGACATCTGGACCTTCTCCCGCTCGACTGCTACTTCGTCGTGTCGTCCATGTCCGTCCCTCCTTTTCGCTATCACTCTCACCAGTTACCCCTGCACTGATTGTGCTCTCGCTCTCTTTTCCTTTGCTATCGTTCCTCTTGGGCCAAGATTGGGATACTCCTGGTGAATCCCTACATCGAATTGCTCTCAGTACACTCTCGTTTTGAAATCACAAAACCGGTCAAGCAGCCTCGTAACCGCCAAATTAGTACCAGCTCCTCTCGAGGCGCGCACCCTTCCTTTTTATATCCTCATTCGGCGGAACTACTACTCAGTCTTTAATCTCGACGGCGGCTTCAACTTCTGTCCACCCCCGTACTCCCTATCTGCCTTCTCTTGGTGGCCACTTGCGCAGTCGAAACAGCTCCAATCGGCTTCTTCCAACTGAGGACGTTCATTTCCTCTTCTTCTCCGACCAGTTACTTCGCTCTACCCTTCACCCATCATGGGCCAAAGCCTCATCGACAGAATCCAGGCCAAACTGGAGCTCTTCCGCCTCGAGCAGCGATATACCCGCCGTCGCAATCGTCGATCTACCTTCCAGTCGAATGCAATCTACGTTGACGGCGAATACGTCTACCAAACGCCAAACACCACTGGCTCGTCCACAGATTCCAGCAACGATCATGTAGACGCACTCCACGGTGAAATGGTATCGCCCGGCAAAAATATGCCCGTCACTACTTTCCCCCCCGAGCCCCGCCCGGAAATCTCCATGCCTGAACGCAAAAAGTTGAGCCGATTCAGTTCCATCCCCAGCCTCGGCAGTGTTTTCGGATCCAAGGAAAGACCGCGAGTTGTCGAGCGACGCACCAGCATGATCAGATGATGTTCCAACTTGCTTCTTGTGTGTATAGTTGTTTAACATGGCCTGATATGAGATGCGCCCTTTGCAAGGATACATCCTTGAAACCCTCGATCCAAGGGCCCGCCACGTTGAGAGAGCATGGCGGAAATCAACGAGATGGTTTCCAGGTCCGCAAGGAGGGAGGGCAAAGGAAGAGCAAAGAATATGTCTAATGGATCTCTCCCGTCGCGAGGAAATAACACGGGTGCGACTCTTTCACGAATTACCTCGTCATGCCTAGTTCAGCGTTCGTCATCAACCTCGTTATTTTTTAATTTTTTTTTTTTTTGGGGGGGGGGGGGGGGGGGGGGGTTCATGGGTTACGGCCTCATTGGTTCTGAGGTTTCGTCTCCAGGGAGTTGGGTACATCCAAAAAGCACTGGCCATCGGGCACGTCGAGTCTCGACGGCTTCATATTGGAGCTCTTGGGCGTGGTTTTGCCGTACATGCTTGTAGAGCGTATTTTGGTTTTTTTTTTAAACCACGGGCTTCCACTTGTACATAGATTTGTCTGGATGAAAATGTTGGCACTTTTTTTTCTTCTACATGTGCGCTCTGTTCCTTCAGAGGGCCGAAGCTGTAATCAAGTCCCCTCCTCCCCGTGGACTGGGGGAATCAATTGCACAAAGGGCCAGACGTGGCACGAGGGCCACCATGTCTCTGACCCTCGTTTTAGACACTGGTGGCCAAGTGTCTCGTGTGAGCACCCAACTGAACGGTGCGACAGTCCTGAACCAGTTTGTTTCGAGCTGATGTCGTCCGCCAGAGAAGGGCGCCTCGTGAGACCGACGAGGTTTGAAACCGGTGGGGGGGCGTTCATGCCCTGGGGCCCGAGTGCTCGTCGCCAATGCCGCTGTCAAGCTGTCATGTCTGGTGTCTGGTGAGTTTCAAGTCACTGCTGTCGATTGGCCCTGGAGCCATTGGCCGTTGTGGGGAACGCCGTCGCGGCGACTACGGAAATAAGGCCTTGATGCTTTACCTTGTTTGGCTTGACACACACACACACACACACAAAAGGGAAGAGGAGGATTCATTGATGTGCTGGCAATGAATGAAAAAAATCCACGACACAGATGTCTACTTGGGTGAACTGAAATAACTTGTATAAGATGCCTGGCCGGTCCTGGACCTGGACCATGAAGACCGTCGCCTTCTCGCCCGACGCTGCAGGGCAAGCTATCGACTGAGACACATCACATCATGTGGCTTAAAAAAACGCTAGACTTTGATGCGGATATATTCAAACACCTTATTCACAGACATGGCAAACATGCGACTACGCCATGTTCGTTACCCAAGCAGGTACGCAGACCGTCCCATCCCACACTATGCCGCTCAACGCCATTCAAATATGCTAGCCCTGCATACGCAGGGTATGCAAATCACACCCTCTCCAAACTCTCTATCTATATGATGCATATGCAAAACAAAATGGCTTTTACATCCGTCAAGTGGCCAAACCGCCGCCATTTAGTAACTCACGAGCCCCCTTGAAGGAGCCAGATCCCGAGCACCTAGTACAGTTGTCGTTTCGTTGACGTCACCGTATACTTGCAGCTTGGCCATGGATTTGGACCTCGACTTTCGTGGCTTGATCCTGACAGTGTCATCATCTAAAAACTCCTCCTCAACATCCGCTTCGTCCTGGTCGGAGGTTGTGCCGTCAGGGTTGATTGTGAGGCGTGTCCGTCTCAATTTTTTGTCATGTCTCAGGGGGCTCCTCATGGGGCTTCTCATGACGCAAGTCTGCTCGACTGAAATTCCCAATCGGTTTCTCAGGCGTTGAATCTTCCCAATCAACTTGGCCTGTCCTGGAAAGAATGGCAGTGCCATTTCGTAAGCTCTCAATGCCGAGGCGTCGTCACCCTTCTCCCTGTGTTGCCTGGCAGCCAGCAGAAATCGCAGACCATCAGACTTCGAGTCTACACGAGCATCTTCACTCTCGATGCGCCGCTCGAGGGCCTCTAGGCGTCTTTGCATAGCTTCGCTAGCGTCATGTTGAGAAGACGCACCGCGATTTTGGCTTTGCACTGCCTTCTCGGCGGCCGTCCTCGCTGCCAAGATCTCGCCAACCTTTTTCTCGACCATGGCCTCAATTTGTGATGCAGTTACTGTGATGGATGGCTCATCAATGGACGGTCGAGCAAGCTTTCTGGGTCTCGCAATTCCGCTCTCGTGGTCCGATGGGCGCTTGTAGGCGGCGCTGAGGCGAGGCACCAAACTAACATTTACAGCAGCAGGTCGCGGCAGCGATGTTGCCATGGAGATGGTCTTGGTCGGAGACTGCCTGGCCTTGTCTGTGTAAACACTGAACGACTTGATGGGTCGAGTTGCGTCTGCAGAACCTTTGGCAGCTACGTTGCCATTGTGCACGTTGTGAGCGCTCAAGGCATGAGCCAGCGGTCGAAGTGGCTGGCGCTGAACGGTATGAGAGCCCGCCGATCTGGGGAACTGCTTGAACACTACTTCGTTCTCAATCTCGCGGACTTCTATCCGCTTCGCCCGGGAACTGACGTTTAGACTGCTCAGGGTGTCAAGGTGGTAGCTGCGGAGAGGAGCCAGGTTCAAGAACATAATAGTGATGCCGTTGTTCTGACCAAGGGAGAGAATCCGGGTCATTTTGGATTCTCTATACGGAATGCGCTTGTCACCTCTTGAAATGGCATCGATACACTGGCTGAGGACAAAGAGGCTCTTGTTGATAGCCGCCGATTCGACCAGTCTCTCCTTGCCATTGTCAGTGCGGCGGTTGTCTTCTGAACCTGCCAAGTCAATGGCAGATACAGTACTCTCACGGATCATTCCGTCCGTGGTTTGGGTTACCTTGACGCGGAGGATGGCGTGACTCCGACTACTGTGCGCGTTCAGCTTTGTGGACGCGGTAACACGGTTGTTGTTAGCCTCAATGTACAGCTTCTCAAAGTCTCGGAGGTCCTCGCAGGCTCGCTCAGATAGCCCGGCTACAACGGTTCTCCCGCTGGCCTCGGCGCGAAGGGGCAGTCCGGATGGTGTTCTCTTCTCGGGCGGCTCGAGCAAATCAAACACCTTGTCATTGTAAATCTCGTAGTACGACAGGCTGACGTTTACCGTCGTGTTGCCCTCCGAGTCCTTAGCAATCTTCTTGCCTCTTCGAAACACGCCGCTCAAAAGCCGGGGAATAACTCCTCGGTCGGCGAGCTTGAGACCGCCACGCATAGTGTGCGTCTTCCCCGTGCCAGTGACACCGTAGGCGAATATTGTGACATCATATCCCTGGAATAGTGACTTGAGATGCGGCTGTACTGTTCAAGGCTTTAGCATTGGGGGAGGGATCGAGGTGGACGCGTCCTTCAGACGTTTGGAGAGGGGCAAGGGCAGGAACTGCCGTTTCTTTTGCAACCCATACCTTCAGAAGTAAACAGCGTCTCTTGTGATGTCGACTGATCGTACACGGCATTGAACGCAAAGGAAAAGTCCTCAGCCTGGTTCTTCGGGTTGGGGATCTTGACAATGGTATGCGGCCCGCCTGCTTCAGCACCGTCAGGACGAACAATGATGTCCTTGTCCAGCTCTGTCTCCAGCAGCGGACGTATCCTCGCAACAACACGAACGGACATGGCTGATGTTTAAGGGAAAGAAGGCATGCAAGGCAAAGCACCAGACACGACAGAAAGGACGCCAAGTGACAAAGGGAACGTCGCGATGCAACCCGAGGCACGCGACGGCGATTTACAATGAACGCTCCCGGCACTACTCCCGTACACGATACTTGTGTCCAGGGAGATGACGGGTGATGGAAACTCGCTGGCAAACCGAGTAACTACGGAGTACTAAGTCCAGCCAGGATCTTTGGTGTGGAGGTGCCAATTCATTGGCAAAGCAAAGCGAGATTGGCATGGTTGTCTGGGCAACGACAGCTCCAGCCAATAGCTGGGCCATCTCAACAGAGTTGCCCACGATTGTGGGGCCAGTGGACGGCATCGGAAAAAGCCGCCCTTCCAGTCAAGCGTGCCACCCAAGCATGTGTGAGCTGCGCATCGACGTCAACCGTCCGTTCTTGCGACCGCCACGGACGAACAAAAGTCTCTTCAAAGAGACTGCGACGCCATGATGCGAGGGTCTTCGCCGCTGGTGAGGTCGACACGTGGTCTGCGTCTTCAGCGGCCCGCGTCCTTTGTCTGCTGGCAATGCAGGAGTATTCACATTAGCGCCGCACCGAGCACCGAGTCCCCAAGGGTGCCGGGCGATGCCTTCGGAGCTCCCATTGACGGCGCGCGAGATATGGCTGGTAAGCCGACTGCTCATTTTCGCACTCGTAGCTTGGCTCAGCATAGTTTGAAGCTAACATGGGACTTTTACAGATGCTCGATTCGAAGTTCTTGGATCTCCATACTCACTGCTATCCGTCACCCTTTCAGCATCGCAGAAACTTTACACGAGGCGGGGCACACTTGTTGCTGTAGCTGGAAAGCCAGATAATGTATGAATGATGAAGCCGTGTGATTATGGCATGCGATTCGGTCCAAACTTGTTGGAGAAATACTTCTAACTGCATGCTTGCCCAAGGCCCAATCGACCTTGTCACTGTTGAATCCTGTAACCCGAGCTGCTTTCGGAGTTCCGTTTGTCTACCAGCGAATTTCCGCGACGACACCCATTACCGCTCTCATCTCGACAAAGTCACCGACGACTACGTTTACCGTGCTTCACCTCGATGGCACTACCGATTGGATGGTTTCGCAACGAAATGCGCTCCTCGCTTGGACAGGCCACACTCTGACGCTGTCTTCCCGGATCCAGCGCAGGCTTGCGCTTGCACACTGGGGCAGCACACAGTTAACTGGGCGGGGGCTAGCCGCCCTATCTGCTCCTGGACAAATCTACCAGCTTACACTGGGAGAAGGCGAAGAGTTTGTCGCTCATCCGGGCAGCGTTGTCGCTTACTCTGTTTCAAGAAACGCACCGCAGCCATTCCGTTTCAAGAGCACCAGCCTGCGTCTTCAGGTGCCTTCATTAACATCTTGGATTCCAGAGATGGAGTTTGTCAAGACGGTGCGAAACTCGGATGTCTACAAATTTCTTGCTGGGGCTTTGCACAACTTCCGAACCATGGCACGACGAACCATCTGGGGTGACCGTCTATTCCTTCAGTTCAAGGGCCCTGCCACCATCCTGATGTCAAGTCGGGGTGTGCGTGTCGCAGATGTCTTGTCTCGAGAGCAAGTCAATGAAATTGCCGATGCACCGGCGGGAGTATTACCCTCAGCTGTCGAGCTGGCAAACAAGCCGAAGCAGGGAGGGCAGATGCTAGACAAGTCTCAAGCAGACGAGGCCGCCAGCAATCTGCGAGTTGGATCGCCGCCAAAAGACAGCAAGGTTGTATTAGAAGAGGGAAGGGAGCTGAAAGAGTTTGTGCGGTAATGAGAAGCGCTGTTGGCTGGGGAGAGCCAAAATGACACGAACAAGACACGTTTGCTCATTTGTATTCCATATTGACGGTAGAAGTGTATTAGTACTACAAGACAAGCTACTGAATATTCATAGATTTTGAGTGGACGACAGCGAGCTTTCTCCTCCCAGTTGTCATTCCGCTGGGGCCGGGTTTGGGACCGGGCGTGTCACAAGTACTCGCATCCAACGTTGCGAGTGTAAATCAAATCCAGATGTCCGTATTGACATGCCGAATACAGGCGTCTCGGCCGGTAAGGTTCGTTGTGTTTCAGTCATACATTTCTCTTTTCTATGTGGGCGTCAAACAAGCCAGCGGATATCTACCGCCCCTTTGCGTCGTGTATACTGCCGCTCATCTGCATGAACAGTTGCTATACTTCCATAGTCTTCACGCGCCGGCGCCCGTGGCGGGAGCTGGTGAATGCATTTCCGGCTCATGGGTGTTTGAATCGTCTCGCGGTGCCATAACACAGCCATGCGGCCCTTGGAGGGTTTGCACCGACAACCATGACTCGAGTGGCTCTACCGACACAGTTGCTTGCTTGCCTGTTGCCAATGCACTGCCAAGCCCGGGATGTCTGACAGTTTTGGTCGCCGCGGGCACAATAGAAACCCGGCAGTCACAATAACAACCGGCGCTCAGGTTCCCCGGATCTCTCTGGACGGGTGAGACACGGAGCAGCCAACAACGAACCACCACATCCGCATGCGGCGTCTCTTCACGACAGGTGCGTCGTGATGGTTTCCTCGGAACCTTGTACGTTGTTGTGGGCGAGTGCACTGGGCCGCTGCCCGGATGTGTTGTTGGCTCACCGCGACCGCGGAACAATGGGCAACAATAGCATTTTGTACAAGATCATGGCAAGTGGGATGAGTGCCGAGCGATGCCATAGCATCTTTTTGGTGTATTGTTTGCCCAAGCAGAGTGCTGGCTGGTGGGATATAACATCGGCCAAGTGTCCTGGACTCTGCTCGCCGCCATCCTCCGCTCCTTGTGTCTTCTTCCGCCCTTCGCTTATAATCCAACATTCATTACACAGAGGCGTCCGTATTGTTAGAGATTGCCGTCTTTTTACAAGTAGCGATTTTCACCGTTCTTGTTCCAACTCGCGGAAACGATTCGCCCGATAGATAGACACGGTGTAAGTCGGCCGAACCACTGTAACCACAACACAACAGTTGCCAGGATTCTGCTGCGCTTTTCGCATGAAGCAGCAGGTATAAACGGCCACCGCGGCGTCTTTCACTTCAGCAAGTCATCTGCGCTGTTTGCCTCGGTCAAGATGCCGTTTGCAAACTCGGAGAAGGCGGTTGACGGAACCAAGTCCTCCACCGAGTCGCTGGGCTCAACGACTCTCTGCCTCAGCTCGTGCCCGTCCGGCCATCAGCTTGGCGAGAAGCAACCCCAGCCGACTGCGGCACGAGCGTCCCAGAGCATACTGAAACACGGCGTCCCGAGCGCCGACCCGGAGGCAACGGCTACAGAAGCCGGCAACGACGCCCACTACCCCGACGGCGGCCTTCGCGCATGGCTCGTCGTGTTCGGCGGCTGGTGCGCCTCCTTTTGCACCTTTGGGCTGCTCAACTGCTCCGGCGTGTTTGTCGAATACTACGCCTCTGGTCCTCTGGCGCACCACGACGCCTCCGCCATCGGCTGGATCACGGCCGTCCAGGCATTCCTCATGATATCTGCCAGCACGGTTGTAAGCCTGCCCCTCTCCGCTCCTCATCTCTCTCTTCCCGAGGTTTTCTAACCCTCTGGTCTTGTTCCCCGAATAGTTCGGGCGAGTCTTTGACAACTACGGGCCGAAGGGGCTCCTGGGGCCCGGCGCGGCCTTCCTCCTCTTCGGGCTGGTCATGATGTCCTTCTGCACAGAGTACCACCAGTTCTTCCTCGCGCAGTCCGTCGCCGCGGGGCTCGGCTCCAGCGCCGTCTTCAGCGCGTCCATGCCGTGCGTGACGTCGTGGTTTTCGAGACGCCGCTCCGCCGCGTACGGCATCATGGCCGCCGGGGGCTCCGTGGGCGGCGTCGTGCTGCCCATCACGATGGACCGCCTCATCCGGGGCTTCGGATTCCCCTGGATGATGCGCACGCTGGCGTGTATATTCCTTGCCCTGTTGACCGTCGCCTGCTGCACCGTCAGGCCGAGGCTGCCGCCGCGCCTGCGCCCGTTCAAGCTCACGGATTGCTTCGGCGCCCTGGGGGACATCCGCCTGGCCGCCACGACGGCCGCCTTCTTCTTCTTCATGGTTGGCATGTGGCTGCCGTTTAATTTTGCTCTGTTGCAGGCCCGGGCCGCCGGGGTCCCAGCGGCTCTGATTCCGTATCTACTGCCGATTCTCAATGCTGCAAGGTACCATCTCTTTCTTTTTCTATACGTGTCAATTAGGAAAGAAAGGATATTGCATGGCTTCCCCCCCCCGGGAGAACCTCCCCTTTGCTGACTTTGGATCTTGTTAGCATCTTTGGCCGCATCATTCCGGGGATTGCGGCCGATAAACTGGGCCGCTTCAACGTCATGATCTTTATCGGCTTCCTCTCTGCTCTCTCCTGCCTGGCCGTCTGGATACCCGTTAGAAACGCGGCCGGCATCGTCGTCTTCTTGGCTGTATTCGGCTTCTCCTCAGGCGGATTCATCTCCCTGTCTGCCACCCTCATTGCTCAGATCTCCGACATTAGCCAAATCGGCACAAAAGTCGGCACGGCCTTCGCAGTCATGTCCCTTGGCGCCCTGGTGGGAAGTCCTGTCGGCGGCGCCCTCGTTGCCGCAGACGACGGCAACTACCTGGGCCTGCAGCTCTTTTGTGGCCTTTCTCTTTTGGCCTCGACTTGTACCTTTGTCGTGGTAAGGTTTCTACTGGTTGGCTCCAAATTATCCGCCGTGTAAAGGTGGCATTGGAACTCTATTCCCTCTCCCATTGTTTTTTTCTCTGTCTAGTTGACTGTGCGTGAGGGTTTGGGGGCACGGGCAATGGTTGCTGTGTAGATAATTATCGCGTTGGTAAACATGATGCCGCTGTGAATAGCTGCAAGAAAGGCGCCAAAATGTAGCGGTTGAGGAGACACAACGAGCGATGCAGATAGTTTTGTACATTCCATCATTTACTTCAAGGCAAATCTGACAGAAACGGACGTGGGGACGACCGGGTTGAAGGACAATCGTATTTCGCATTTACTATCGCACCAAGAAATGGGCGTGGCCACGCCACATGTAATTGTGTGTTTACCCCCTGTATCCTGTGCGACATTTACATGGTATCCCCACGCTGAGCCTTGGGAAAAGCTGCTTTGCTGCGGCTTCATTCAGATGAAGCGTGCCTAAAAGGACAGCCAAAATACATGACGTTTTTTGAGAGAGAGAGAGGTTCAGAGAGTAAACCCCAGCTGAAGGCCTAGCGCTCTATTTTGAGAATCCGTCGACGCTGGGAAATGCCCATGCATGCCTCGCGCTCGCGACCGCGACTCTCACGGATGGCGTAAGCACGATCCAGCCATCAAGACCCTTTGACTTATCCATCTCCCCCCAATCCAAAGCCCAACGACACAGCTACATGATCCAACAATATCTCCGCTCCTCCGCATCTGCCCAGCCATGCCCGCCGACCAACCGGCCATGCTCAAAGCCCTTCACAGCGCGCTGCGAAATAGCAATTTCCACAAACGCTGCTTGCCGGCCTCGGATCTAACCTCCCAGCGGCAATACGTCAACTGGATCGAGAATAACACGGCCGACCCTATGGCCCACGTCATAATCGCTCACGAAACCACTCCCGCGGCCCCGATTGCCGGGTGGGCACGCTGGGTCCGGCGTCCGGCTCCGGCGCCGGCTCCGGTTCCAGGCGCCAAGCCCACGGCCTTCACCGAGACCATGTTCCCCGCCGCCGGCGATGCGAAACCCGCTGCGAGCTTCTTTCAAGCCAATTTTGACGCGATGAACAAGGCCAGGGCCAATCAAACGTGTAGTTTCTGTCTATGCTCATCGTATCAGAGGTGTCTGAGAAGCGTGGGCGGCTTTTGGAAATACCACCCCAGAAACAAAGCCACTGCTTGAGAGCCTTGGATTCTATGTTGCTGAACGTCATGAGTTTCAAGGTGGCTTGGTGACAAATCACATGTTGAGTGAGGGCGGCGAGTCCACAACCACTTAGTTTCATCGACGACGCCCAACCCGTCGAGCAATACGTATCGCCGCTGGATATTTTTCTACCTAGCCATGCGTATTGAGCCAATCAATGAAATTCTCTTGCCATACAACTGGTCATAGAGCGATAATATTGTGTTGAGGTTCAGGCCGTCGAATTCAAAGAAATCTTCATACTCTGAAACATTACTAGTTACTTAAGGAGACTAGAAGCGGTAGAAACAAACCATCATATGCCACCTTGCAACGTATTGCGCCACATACTTATACACCGCCAACTCCCTCTCAGACAAAACACCCCCTTGAATATTTATTTCGTATGAATGGTCAATTTTTCAGCAGCTTTCTGCCAAAGTCCATTCCGCTGCCATGTCCACTCTGACAATGCCGGCGGATCCATACCCTGCTCAAAGGCCTCGTTACGGGCAGCAATCCGCTGGTCCAGCAGTGCTTGTCGAGCCGAAGCACCACGGTTACCCAGAAACTTCATACGGTCAATAGCATCGATAGCGAGGCTGAAACGATCAGTCTGATTGCGAATAGCCAATTCTAGTGGCGTGTCGATGTTGCCTTTCTCACGGTATCCTCGGACGTGCAGATTCTTGCTGCCGGGTCGCTTGTAGGTGAGACGGTGCACCATCCAGGGGTAGCTGTGGAAGTTCAAGATGATGGGGGTGTTTTCAGTAAAGATGCTGATCCATTCTTTGTCTGTGAGACCATGCGGGTGATCAGTCGGGTGAATAAGCTTGAATAAGTCGACACAGTTGACGACGCGGATTTTGAGATCGGGGAAGTAGTTGAGCAGGAGATCGACAGCGGCAATGGACTCTTGAGTGCTAATGTCGCCACAGGAAGCCATTATCAGATCGGGCTCACAACCTGAGTCAGTACTAAACTTTGTCCAGATGCCAATTCCTTTAGTGCAGTGCTGAATGGCACTCTCCATGTCTAGGTATTGCAGGTGATCTTGCTTGTCGGCAACAATAACGTTGACATAGTTATTCGATCGGAAGCAGTGATCCATGACTACGCCTGATTAGTAATGCCATCTTTTTCTTGTTCCAAGTTTTTCCCCTCCTCTCTAGGAACCACATTGGCCAAAAGCATGGGATGAGACTCACCAGACAAGAGACAGTTGCCATCAGGAGGCAGGTAGATGCGAACAACCTCGGGGCTTTTATTGGCAACAACGTCGAGGAAACCGGGGTCCTGATGGGTGAAGCCATTGTGATCCTGTCTCCAAACAAGAGCGGTCAGAAGGATATTGAGCGAAGCAACCTTGGCTCGCCATTCCACCTCCAGACACTTTTCAATCCACTTGCAGTGCTGTAATGTTGTTAGCACTATCGTCATCATAGGCATCGTTGCATGGCCGACATACCTGATTGACCATGGAGTCAATGACATGAATAAACGGCTCGTAGCTGTTCAAAAGGCCATGGCGACCACTCAAAATATACCCTTCGAGCCACCCTTCGCAAGTATGTTCGGAGAGCATCTCCATGACACGCCCAGCCATGGCAAGGTTGCCACCATTGGCGTCTTCCTCGAAGTAATCACCCATCCAAACCTTCTTACCCGCCTCGTAAACTCGAGCCAACTTATTCGATTCCGTTTCGTCTGGACCAAACAGTCTAAAGTTGTGCATGTTCAGTGCCATGATGTCTCTCAGGAAGCCGGCCATATTTGTCATGCTACCGTTCATTGTGGCGCCGGGTTGATCGACCTTGATGGCATAATCTCTGAAGTCAGGCATCTTGAGAGGCTTCTTAATAAGACCTCCATTAGTCACCAAGTTGGCACTCATACGGCGATGTCCCTCGGGGCACAGAGCTCGCAAGGCAGCGACTGGTGCACCTTCCTTGTCGAAGAGTCTGTCCGGCTCGTAGCTACGCATCCAATTTTCGAGAACCTTGAGATGCTCAGAGTTTGTGTTGACATCGGTAATGGGGACCTGGTGCGCTCGCCAGAATCCTCCAAGATAGTTGTTATCGACCTTTCGGGGCGCGGTCCATCCCTTGGGCGTTCGCAAGACAATCATTGGCCATCTGGGACGGAAAGCTTTCCCGCTCTCTCGGGCTTCTTTCTGGTAGTCTTTGATCAGGCGGACGCAGTGTTCGAGAGTTGAGGCCATGGCCTGGTGCATGCTGTCCAATTCGTCGCCCTCAACAAAGAAGGGCTCCCAGCCGTAGCCAATGAACAGATTCTTGAGCTCGTCGTGGGAAATACGGGCAAGGACGGTGGGATTGTTGATTTTGTACCCGTTAAGATGCAAGACTGGCAAAACAGCTCCATCTGTTATGGGATTTAGAAACTTGGTCGAGTGCCATGAAGTTGCCAGAGGACCAGTCTCGGCTTCACCGTCGCCAACCATGGTCAAGGCAATCAGGTCTGGGTGGTCAAAAACTGAGCCAAACGCATGGGAAATGGAATAACCCAATTCACCACCTTCGTGAATGGAGCCAGGAGTTTCGGGGGTGGCGTGAGAGCCAATGCCACCAGGGAATGAAAAGTACTTGAAGAACTTCTGGAGGCCTGCAGCATCCAAGGATTTCTCCGGGTAGACTTCTGAGTAGACGCCCTCCAAGTAGGACTGTGAGAGCACAGCAGGCGCGCCATGGCCAGGGCCAGATACGAAATAGGCATTCAGGTCGTACTTTTTGATTAGACGATTGAAGTGCATATAGGTGAAGATCTGACCGGGAGCAGATCCAAAGTGGCCAAGAAGACGCTGCTTCAAGTGTGCCTTGTTAAGAGGCTCGCGAAGCAGCGGGTTATCTCGGAGGTAAATCATACCCAAAGACAAGTAGCAGCTGGCCTTGAAGTAGTCGTTATACAGAGCAATATCGGAGGAGCTCAGCGGATTGCCCTTGATAGTTGAACGAGCTGGGCCAAAGGCCCGGATGGATTGTTCGTCAGCCATTGCGAATTGCGAATGGCGGGTGCTGGATGGCGAATAGCTCCGGCGCTGGTGACGGGGCCGGTTGAAGCTCAGAGAGAGCGAGACGAAGAAACGGTTTCGCAGTGTGAGCAATGTCAGCAAGCTTCCCGAGGAAAGGCAATCAAATTGGCATGAACAGGCCAATTGGATGATGAAGTAAGAAGAGGAAGCAAAGAAATTGGCATTCGGGGACCCGGCACGCCCATGGCGACAGTTTTGAAGGGTAGCATGACGATGACATGACTATTGTATGTCCAGAGTCCAGACGCAAGGTCCTCTGGCCGGGCCGTTTACATCGGCGATCCGCAAACAGAATGGGCGGCATGGTGCGAAGGTTGTCCCACGGTGGCTCAGCGATGGAATTGGAAAGGAAGTTGGCAGCAGCTAATTCGACGGCGAAGCTGCTGGCTGTACGGCGTCGGTGGTGGTTCGTGGCCCAATGGGCAGATGCGGAACCACCGGATGATGGAGGACTGGGAGAAGTATTGAATGCGATGGCCATTGGTGGCGTCACACGGAAGGAAGGACCACTCGACGAGTTAGAGGTGGCAGGTGCTGGTCCAGAGGCTTGGCGAGACATGACATTGGGAACATGGAAACTCGTTAAATTCAAAGACCACAAAGTACGGCGGTGCGCAGAGCTTTTGTATTTTCCCTGCTACCTCAAATATTGCGGCATTCAAGGAAAGGAGGTCAATTGCATCTTGATCTCGATAGTGCTTGCAGGTCAAGATGCAACATCAATTGATAACGATGGGCCCAATCTAAATTGATAGCAGTTGCCCTTGGGCAGGTACCGGACAGTGGGCGTACTGAATTACATAGCTCCGTACATGTACGGAGTACTGTGCTCGAGCTTGCTGAGCTACCAGACAGCAGCAGCCACATGCAACATAGCAAGGGCAGCTCGTGAAGCTTCAAGAGGCAAAATCAAGTGGCATTTCGCGTCAACCGGGATCTCCCATGTCGAAGCACTCGCAGACTTCACAAGACCGGTTTCTCTCAGTCGGCATTGCCAGCGAATCGCATCAAAAATCGATAGCATCTGTGCATCAAAATCTCCTGAGCTTTTCAATGCTACACTACGGGATGCCTGCTTCATCACTCGATCCCTCTTTTCTGGATCACGCACTAGCGTCATATCTGCCAACCTGCCCACTTACAGTGGGTGTAGCATTTGCCTAGCAGCTGTCATCGCACGAGGTCTGCATCAATTAATGCGTCATCCAGTTGTAACGTGCAGCCGAGTAGCGCTGAGCTGTCACAACTGGCCACCCAGTCGGCACGTACCAGTTTCTGTCAACCCACCAGTTGACATCAATTGATGCAGCTTCCACATGTGCAGTCTGAAGTTGCCCCTCCAATCACTACAATATCACCTGACGTCAATTGCGAGGTTCCCCGCCGCCAGCGATGAAAAGATTGAATCCAAATGCCGCTTTTGCCCATCGTTCGATGCCGCATCCAGTCCGTCATAGCAACAACATGTGAACTTGACGTACCTTATTCAACAGCAATCAATTACTGAAAACCCCTTGTTCCTTTTACCAAGCCAAGGAAAAGAAGAAAGACGGAGAAGGAAAAAGACAATGGAGCATCGACCGGAGACGCCCGCGCCTGTGCCGTCAGCTCCTCTAGATCCAGAACCGGTGCCAACCAATCCCGGTGGCGATGGTCCAGTTGACTATTGAGTCTTTGACCATCGATGCCCGCCGCGGGGAGGACAATCATGTCCGCAAAAACCCATAGAGAATGATTTGGGTAGATACCAGCAACGTATCCAGGGACTCAAGACGATGAAGCAGATATGCGCAAGATGAGAGCTCAAATGTTGAAGATCAACACTATGGCTGCAACGGTAAAAAAAAAAGTGCAACGTCGTTCAAAGATGGCCATGATGATATCAAGAACATCGGAAGTGGCCGGGTTTTATGTACACGCGTTTGATGACTGGATGACGAATATTTGTTATTATTACTAGATTGTACGATAGGGGTTGAAACCGGAATACAATCAATTCCAAGCCGCGGAAATTGGCACTACTTGATGCTCTTGAATCAATCTAGTATGCCACCAAGTCTGCCGCCTTTTGTCGACGCCGGTTCCCTTTCAACTCGCCCCACTTGAACCGTCAGTTTACATCATCTCACATTCTCAAATACCTTCATCCGCTGCACGACGTTGCAGCTGCCAGAGTGAGTTTGTTTACTTGGCTGAATGCGCATGTGAAAGAATTTACAGCTTACGATTAATCACACAAGTACTGCTTCGAGGACCGCGGCGAACACTTCCTCCCCCAACATCAAACACCAAACCGACAGATCCAACATCCGGAAAACTCGGCAGCATGGACGGTCCGTCCAGCTCTCTGCCTCCAGAGGCCATCGAATTGGCCGGGCGCATGTACGACGCAGCAAGGGCCGGTGATCTGGCCACTTTTCAACAAGCCCTACCTGCCGGTCTGCCGGCGAACCTGACCAACGAGAAAGGCGACACGCTGGTTTGTACAGAACCACAGACATAGTTGACCAGGAAAGCCACCTCTAACCTGCGAAATTCGTAACCAGCTCATGCTTGCGGCCTATTACGGCCACGCAGAATTAGTCAGGCTCCTTATCCAGCACGGCGCGGACCCAAACCGCCTCAATGATAAGAACCAGAGTCCTCTGGCGGGAGCTGTGTTTAAGAAGGAAGATGCCGTCATCGAGGCAAGTTGTTACATCTGTTCCGAAACCGAGGCAATGACTTATGCAGTTTTCGGCAGGCACTGTTAGAGGGAGGCGCAGATCCAGAACATGGAAATCCAAACGCTATGCAATGCGTGGCCATGTTTAAGCAGGAGGAGGCGTGGAAGGCCAAATTCGATGCGGCACCTGGGCGAGGAAAGGCGAAAGAGCCGGCGCAAGGTCCATCGTTGTAATGGTGTTGAATATATGAGACCAAAAACCCCAGAGGCTTCAGTCGAGGGCCCAGTGTGTTTCTCTGCCGCCTTCTTACGGACATCTCGCCTCGGCCGTCTCAATAGGCATGCTGTGGCGCCCCTTAGAAGCTTGATTAAGTTAGGTTGGGCGTTTGCCCCAGCTCCTGTTGAGGGTTGGCGCTGTTATCAGGTTCGGGTTCGCTCCCCCTGAGTGCATTGTTTCCTATGGGCGTTGTTGACTGAGACATCACGTCATCCACAGGTTCGGGTTGACTCCAAGTAGGATTTGGGTTTATCGTCTTTACAATGTGCCCCCAATGTCCTTGAAGGTGGTTACAACACCGTATTCTGGACTATATTAGTATTGGTGTCCCAGGAGCGGTTGTGAGATAATCTTAGTTGGCCCTAGGGTAATTTAACTATAGCCAAGGAGGGAATTATATCTCAATCTGGAATGGGGTGAGACTGAGCGACGGGCATCTTGATTTACTATGTTTCTTGTCCTTTGCTTCAATCATCAATCATCTCGATCCCCTCAATACATAGAATTTTCAAGGCTGCGGCTCGATATTCAGTGACTTGGATTAATCATGATCAAAACCCGTTCCGCACATATGAGATACGTTGAGTGGCTTTGTGTCCTTGGCATAAGCTGCAAATCTTGTGCACACGAGGATCGCATTTCCATGTTTAATCCGTCCTACACTTCAACTAGAGAGCTAATCCAACGGAACTACATTCGTCCCCAAGACCCCCTTGAGACTCGGGAGAACACAAACCACCCAATAGATTCCTAACGAGGGGGACGGGGAGGTAACTAGACTTGGCCCTAGACTTGACCTATTAACCACGGCTAGCTCACTCATCTGATGGCTACTATGTCTTGGATGATATGCATTCTACACTGACGCTCGTAGAATACAGAATCAGAATGTAGAATCATCATGCAGGACAAACGTGCTTCGAGCTCTCGATCAAAACCTCAAGGGGCCTGGTCAGCTATTCTACGTACAGTGCGTGTTGTACAGTGTTCCCCGCACTGTCCGACAACACCGCGCAGAGACAACAATTTTTTTGGCTGGAGCTCCCAAGGCAGGCAGGCATTCTGTGCATCCACATCCCACTGACAACCGTCATCGCACTTCGTGGGACTCGACCAGCACGAAAACCGCGCGCAGAATTCGCTGTCGAGCTCCAAGGCGACCGGCAATCTCACGACCACCGCCAATATGTCGTTTGGAGGCCAAACTCCCACCATCATCGTCCTCAAGGAAGGTGAGAGCTGCCCCACCGCCATCACCACCCCTCGTCGCTTCCGAGTCTCGTCTCGCCGCCGGGAGGCTTCACGCGCCTACCGTACCGTCTTGAGAACTCCCTTCGGCTAATTGCACTCTTCCGGGAATAGGCACCGATACCTCCCAGGGCAAGGGCCAAATTGTATCCAACATCAATGCCTGTCTCGCTGTTCAGGCCACCATCAAATCGACCCTAGGTCCTTACGGCGGGGACCTGTTGATGGTTGATGAGAATGGCAAGCAGACCATCACCAACGACGGCGCCACCGTCATGAAGGTTCGACGCTACTCCAAAACTCTTGACACATCTCGTTATATACGACATGCGGCTTGGCATGAAAAGCCCATATGCTAACTTGTCCGCAAAGCTCCTCGATATTGTCCACCCCGCTGCCCGGATCCTCGTCGACATCGCTCGATCACAAGACGCTGAAGTTGGCGACGGCACAACCTCCGTCGTTGTTCTTGCGGGCGAGATCTTGAAGGAGGTCAAAGACCATGTCGAGCAGGGTGTCAGCTCTCAGATCATCATCAAGGGTTTGAGAAGAGCATCACAGTTGGCTGTTAATAAGATCAAGGAGATCGCTATTAGCACCAACGAGGGTAATCGTCGCGACACGCTGAAAAAGTTGGCCGCTACCGCCATGACCAGCAAGTTAATCAAGCAAAACACAGGGTTCTTCACGGAGAGTAAGATGACTGACACTTTGTCGACCCTTCAACCAAGATGGCAGCTGCTAACCCGGCGTTCACAATGCAGTGGTTGTCGATGCCGTATTGTCCCTCGACCAAGACGATCTCAACGAGAAGTTGATTGGAATCAAGAAAATCCCCGGCGGCTCCCTGACCGACTCGCGATTCGTCAACGGTGTGGCTTTCAAGAAGACCTTCTCGTACGCCGGTTTCGAGCAACAACCCAAATCGTTCAAGAAGCCTAAGATTGTATGCTTGAACGTGGAGTTGGAACTCAAGGCCGAGAAGGACAACGCCGAGGTTCGTGTGGAGCAGGTGTCAGAGTATCAAGCCATTGTCGACGCTGAGTGGCAGATTATCTACAAGAAGCTGGAGGCTATCTACAAGACTGGTGCCAAAGTTGTTCTGAGCAAGCTGCCCATTGGCGATTTGGCCACTCAATATTTTGCCGACAGAGACATCTTCTGCGCCGGCCGTGTCTCTTCAGAGGATATGGAGCGTGTGGTCCAGGCTACCGGCGCTGTTATCCAGTCAACGTGCTCTGACATCCTGCCCGAGCACCTGGGCACATGTGGTAGCTTCGAGGAGCGCCAGATCGGCGGCGAGCGATTCAACTTCTTCGAGGAGTGCCCTGAAGCCAAGACCTGCACCCTGGTGCTGCGTGGAGGTGCAGAGCAGTTTATTGCCGAGGTTGAGCGATCCCTGCACGACGCCATCATGATTGTCAAGAGAGCCATCAAAAACCACATGGTTGTTGGGGGTGGTGGTGCTGTCGAAATGGAAATCTCAGCCTACCTACACCGTTTTGCGGACAAGAACATTTCCCACAAGCAACAAGCCATCATCAAGTCATTCGCCAAGGCCCTCGAGATCATCCCGCGACAGCTATGCGATAATGCCGGCTTCGACGCCACCGATATCCTCAACAAGCTGCGCGTGGAGCACCGCAAGGGCAGCACCTGGGCAGGAGTGGACTTCAAGAATGAAGGTGTAGCGGACATGATGGAGCGGTTTGTCTGGGAACCGGCCCTTGTCAAGATCAACGCTCTGCAGGCCGCTACTGAAGCCAGTTGCTTGATCCTGGGAGTAGACGAAACCATTCGAAACGAGGAGAGTGCGAAGCCCCAAGCCCCCGGCCAGTTGCCGCCGGGCGCTGCTCAGCGGGCAGTCCGTGGTCGTGGCCGTGGAATGCCCCGTCGATGAGCATGGTGAAAACGGGGGCGCAAAAACAAAATGAGAGAAGTTGTAGGACACGGATAGATGTGGGTTGCAGAAAATGAAAAAAAGGGTATATAGGGAAATGAAACTATGGGGCGTTGAGGGTCTGTATGATACCTATAAGACGACTTCTATACTAGACCTGTTGTCATCGTCACCCGTCTAACTTGACGCGCTTATGTGTGTCTCTTGGATGCGTATTCCCCGTAATGCCGCAGTTGGCGCCCACCAGTGACAGTCGTTATGAAACGCTACATGTATGTACAAATACTACCGCTGTGTGAAGAATCAAAAGCACAAGCAATGCTATACCTATACCGCCGGCCCCCTATCCCCCGTCAAACCCAACGTCGTACAGCCTGTCGCGATGCCCCGTTCTCCTCGCTTCATCTAGACAGTCCATGGGACCTTCATGACAGTCGACGTCTTCGTGCTCGATCAACATTTCCAAATCCCTGTCCACCGCTGCGGCGGCAGCAGCTTCTGCGGCGGCCGCGTCGGAATCCTGCTCCGGGCCCACGTCCTCGGTCGCGTTGAGGAGAGCCTGAAAGTCGGCGTGGGGGTGGTACTGGTCAAAGGGCATGTCGTCGTGTGCCGACGAGGCATGCTGATGGCCGTGGTGGTTGATGATTTGGGGGTCGATGGGCTGGTAGGCCTCGTGGGAGGCAGGCCGGTCCTGGAGCATGGGGTTGTGGCCGTGGTGCCCGTGGCCGTGGGGGTGCGGCACGGCGTGGGAGTGAGCGCCGTGCAGCATGTGGCCGTCCTGGTGTGCCGGCGCGAGGACGGATATGTCGCTGGGGTTGGCGTACGGGCCTTGGCTCGGCGCCGGGCCCGGCCGGGACAGCGAGTCCATGAGGCTGCCGGCGCGGCTCTGCTGCTGCAGCGCCAGCACGCGCCCGGCGTCGACGCGGATGTCGCCGTCGCCGTCGCCGTCGTGCTGCGGCACGGGCGACTGTGCCTGGCGGCGCTGGGCGTCGCCGCTGCCGCTGCCGAGGCCTCCGGACGGTGTTGCCGAGCTGGGGGGCGTGCTGGCGCGGCGCTCCCGTTCTTCCTGCTGCCGCCGGGGTTCGGCGTCTTGCCCAGCTCCTTGCACTCGGCGCAGGCGCGGATCACGTCGCTGACCGTCTCCTTGATGCGGCTCCAGTGGAACTTTTCTGCAATGGTGGCGGTGGTCTTGTTGATCCCTCCGTGGTGGATGGCGTGGACGTTTCTGGCAATCTCGTACTGCCGCCCCGGGTCCGAAATGACTTCCTTGTCCTTGAGCATGAGCTTGTCGCCCTCGAGGAGCTTGTAGTGGGTTGCCGCGCTGCGCAGCCTGCTCTTTTCGGCGCGGTCTGCCCCGTTGGGGTATTTGCCGTACTTGAGGTAGAATCGTATCTTGTCGAAGCGCTCTTCGCTAACGAGCTCTTCGCTCTCTCCCGGAGCCAGGTCTCGGCCGTATATGATGGCGTCAATGAGCCGGTCCGGATGGCTTCGCAGGTTGCCGCAGGCTTTGATGCGGCCGATGCGTTTGAAGCCGAGGGCGTCCCAGATACGACACGACGCCACGTTGGTTTCGTAGACGAGATTGAAGACGCTGTATGTGTAGCCCAGCCTCGGGGCCCAGTCGATGTACGCCTCGCCCATGAGTCGTCCCACGCCACGGTTACGCGATGCGTCGGTGGTGATGAAGCTGGCGTTGCAGATGTGGCTGCTGCGACCAGGATAATTGGGCTTGATGAAGAAGCTTCCGAGACACTCCTTGGCCCAGTCCTTGCCGTCCAAGACATCCTGCGCACAGTCGATATTTCCCATCAGCATGACGGCGCCAAAGGTCTGGAACCAGTAGTCTGCGAAACCGTCCACGGTAAAGGCTTCCATCATGGGATACGTATCACCTCCCTCTATCTCGCGGTTCAGCTGGTCGCACAGATACACCAGCAGCGAAGCGGGAAGCTGGTGCCGCGAGACAAAGGGCACAATCGTCGCAACCGTCTGGCGATCCCGCAATGTCACTTGGCGGGGGACAATGTCGGGGGGCAGCCCGGGGCAGTTCGGGTCCGGGAACGGAGGCTGCCCGGAGACCCGGTAGACGGTGGGGCCGGCCGGGTCGTCCATGACGGCTGGCATTTTTGTTTTTTTTTTTCCCTCAGTGGCCAGTTGCCAGGGACTCCGTACCGAGTACCCGGTGAATCAATGTCGATCTATCTCAGGCCATACAGGCTTTGCTGGCATTGCTTGCTTCCCTAGTCAAACCTGTTGTTGCCAGTTATAATACAGACGCACGAAAGCTCGGCCGGCAACTGGGTCTTTTGCGGGTGCCAGTGCAGGCAAACGGCCAAAATGCCCTCCTGCTTGGTGCAGGCGAAAAACGGCCGATGCCACGCTCGCGCCCACGCCAACGCTCTAGGGTACGCTTTCTTGCGCACTCACTGGCGCGTCTAGCTTCAAGGCCTGACGTCTCGCCGTGGTCGTATTATGTGGAACAACAGGGTCCCGTTTGGCCTGGCTGTGCTGAAATGTTCGTCGTGAGGTCGACTGCCTGGTGAGGGGAAATGCGCAGGGCGAAGTTTACAGCCCGCCTGCACAAGTGTGTGTGCGCCTGCATTTGCATATCTGCATGCCCACTGGCTACTCCGTGCTTTGTGCCACTCTCTTGGCCATAAAGGCTGCGGCCACCGGTTAATCCGAGCCGACATGCCGCTGCCTAGCAGGCGGTAGAAACCATCAGCCACAGATGGCTTGTTGTGCTGTAAGACCTGTACCCGCCTATAACAGTACTAGTTACAACTAACGATTACATTATACAAAGCTCACTCTTTTTCGCAATCGCACCGCTTCCCATACGCTTGTGCTATGATAATACATTGCCATGTCTGCTAGGTATTCTCGGCTCCATATATGATACACGTCTCCATATTTTTACATAAGTTTACACCGGCTCGCTCACTCCTGCTTGCTTCCGACTGCCAACTCGATATGTCTCGTTTGTTGCTGCACTCGTTGCAGTTGCGCCTCGATGTCCGCAAGGCCCTCCCCTACTTTCCAACTCGACGTCTTTGAAGAATCTACATGGCCTGCTTCGGCGACAGCTTCTCTGGCATCTTTTAGTGCAGTCTCGCCCAACATGTTGACCATTTCGTCCTCGCTCACTTCGAGGTCCACCTCGTTATTCCGGACTCGCAAAAGTTTCTGTTCCTCTTCGGTGAATCCCTGAACATTGGACTGTATTCGGCCCATCACTTCCTTGCGTTTCATCACCGCCGCCTGGACTTCTTTCTTCATGTGTCTTTCCAACTCTGGTGACGTGTTCCATGAAACGTTGCCCCGGGAAGAGTCCTGGAGGCGACGCTCCTTGCCCTTCTGACCAGCTCGGCCCAGGACTCCGGCAACAACCGCCATTGCTCGTAAACTATAATGCAACCCGTTAGCCAAATTCAATACTAGGCAGCAGTAGTTGCGGCACATACCTGTCGTCATTGGCAGGAATAGTGTAGGTAACCCAGGACGGGTCGACATTTGTATCAATGACACCAATTGTAGGAATGTTCTTCAGACCACATTCGTACAACATGGTGTAGTTTTCCAAGGGATTCAGGCAAACTACCAAGTCAGGCAGTAGCGGTCTGGCCATGCCCTTGTACATGTCGAAACCATCCAACTCGGAGTCCAAATGATCGACAACCTTTGTCGCCTGGGTCTTGAGGATAACATCTCGGTTTGTAATAGCTCCAGGCGTCCACTTGGTGAACAAATGACATGCACCAGCCAGTTCAGCGGCCTTGGTGACAATTTCCATCTGACCCTTTCGAGTGCCAACAAAGAGGATGACACCGCCCCGGTATGAAACCTCTTCAACGACTCGTGCCGCTCGTCGAAGATGCGCAGCAATCGTCTCGAGTGAGATGATGTGAATTCCCTGCCGGACGCCGTAAATGTATCGAGAATTGGCGGGGTTCCAAAGAGAGGTATTATGTCCCATGTGCGCTTGTGAAGCCATCAGGAGCTCCAACGACACATGCTCTGGGCCGGGAGGGTTGCTAATTAATTCAGTCGGCACGTAACGCCTCTCCACATGAGAGCCGAGGCTTCTTGTATTCTTCTGAATTCTTTGAAAATCTGCAAACTGCTGCGCCGGAGTCACTTCTTGCCCCTTGCTTCCGATCTGGTGCGGTTTTGTCCAAGAGGCTCCCGAGTGTTCCTGGGCGGAATCAGAACCGAGGCTCATGATGAACTCTTGCACAGTCTTCTGCTTCCTCTTCTTGGACGACGATCCTGACAGGATTTTCGGCTGGGCAGGTGAAGATTGCCCCGCGGGCCAGGCCTGGACGGATGCATTGGGGCTCGAATTGACTGCGTTTTGGCTGTTCGCTTCGGTGGATAGCAGTCGCAGGGCAGATCTCGAGATCGGAGGCGCCAATGCACGGCCTATCGAGCTATATAAGCAATTGCGAGACCGTGACACATTCTTGACCGACTCACCATGCCGTATAGCGGCATTTCTGAGTATCATGGCGACGTAATGAAACGGGTTGTTTGCCCGGTTCAAATTCCCATCGCCGAAATTCAGGTCACCAAAAAGTTGACCATACGACAGGGGCCAGCTGTTGCAGGCCGGAGACTAAATTTTCCGGCCGGATGCACAATGAGGCGGCCCAACGAATATTACGGAGTACAGCAGCCCGTTGTGGCTTGAACCTCTACCAGCCTACTGTTCCCCCAAAGTACGACAGTAAAGAGCCAGTTCTGACTTACACCATTTTGCTAACCGTTGCCTTAGCTGTCCAGTAGTCGTACTTGACAGGTAAGGAGAAATTGTTTAAACGACTACCCATGCCCTAGACAGTGCGTAATTTTTGCAGACGGTGCTTCAACGAGAAACCCGGGGCACACAGTTTGCCGATCCGCTGAGCCAGCGACCACTGACCAGCATCACGAAATTGTTTCAACCCAACTGCCGTGTAGATAGCGACCTAACGCTGCCTCGTGTCCATGTCTACCCGATACCACCTTGAAGCCGGGGTATTGGATCGATGCACATTGCCTCCATTAGAATGATAAGGACTCTATATCGAAAGGCTAGAAGGGGAAAACGAGCACTGCCAACACCCAAAAAGGCTTAAAAGGCCGCTGAAGTCGGCCTTTGCACCCAAGTCTATAAGCACTACCGTTGTAGAGGGAACGGGGAAACCACTACAGGCCAGAGGCAAGGAACTTGGATGACATCTTTGACGAAATCAACAACAATAAAGAGAGATGAGAAAGAAGACTATATTATGACGCCCATTCTGGCTGGATAGGTAGAGGGGAAGCAGGGTGGGAAACCAGATATATGGACAGAAATCAAGGGGATAGAGGACCAAAGACAGGAATAAGGTTCGCTGCCAAATGACTCCCTTTTCTGACCTTATTAGGCGTTCCAACACCCATTTCGCCTTGTACTGTCCAGTAGCTTGGGTTGCACTTTTATTGCACTAGCCAAAGTACCCAAAATACAAATGACATACTCCCCAACTTATCCCTTCTGCCCTTGACACCATCAAGTCGTGGCAGCAGCAATGGAGGCTCAGTATAATTAAGAGCTAAAAAGTACTAGAAAGAATCCCTCTATTAAATACACAAAAAAAACTTGTTATATATATTTACAGTCGCGCACTGTCGACTTCGTAACTTCGTTAGTGGTACAAGAAGCTACTGCAGCTCATCTTATCTGCTGGTGGCTCTTGCAATGGTAAAGACACCAACAATAACTACAGCCAGTGTCACAATAGCACCAGGAAGCAGAAGATCATTTGGCACTCCTGCGATAAGCTGTTCCTGAACAGGTGCGCTTCTCGTCCGCCGTGAGCGTCGGACTGGTGCGCCATCACTCTCGTCCTCATCCTCGTCTTCGTCTTCGTCATCATCGTAAAGTCTTCGGCGCTCGCGGAGACCAGCAGCAGTAGAGGTTGGCGGCGTGGGAATAACGGGTGTCTCAACGGGAGCGGGTGGTGCCACAGGTGGTTTCTCAGGATCATGAGCGTAGAGGTCAACCTTGTCGTGCCGGCTTTGACGAGCGAGAATGATGGCCTCGAGCAAGTCGTTGTCGGTAGTGATGGAAACAGTGTCACCCTCATTATCCATGTAGCTGAGAGCAAATCCAGCACCGCTCATTTTTCCGTCTTCTACAGCTGGCACACCACCAATGGCATCAACCTCGGCACCAAGCTTAGCCGCGACAGCAGATACGAAGGCCCCCATTCCCTGAGCTGCTATTACCTGCAAGCGATGCACTCGGCCTGAAGGTGCCTTGAACTTGAAGGGGAACGGTACATCAGCAGGGTTCTGCTCGGGAATCTCGGGGGCAATCGATCGAGGGGGTGATTCAACACCGACGTGGGAAGCAGAGTCGCCTGGAGCCACACTGTCCCCATGGCGGTCCCTAGTTACATCAGGAGACATCATGCGAGATCCAAGGTTAGTATGGTGATGGCTGTGGCTGCCCTCACCAGACATCATTGACTCTGTCTCGTTATCAATTGAGAGCCAAAACTTGTTCCAGGCAGGCCCTTCACCATCTCCACTAGACATGGTGTTGATTTGCTCAAGAGTGGCATAGGTGAGTTTGAGGACATCAACCATGCCGACAATCTCGCCACCATCATTCATGACGGGTAGGTTAAGATAATGGCCATCTGGAAGCCAACGTTAGCTATTGGCATTTCAACCAGGTCAAGGGCGAGGGATTTGAACCAACCGTGCATCTTGCGCAGCGCAGCCTGAATGGTCATGTCCATCGGCGCGAAGTCTGGATGAGGCGTCATGACCCGAACAACGCTGCAGTTTGCCGGATCAAGGCCAGGGGCGATGACGCGCAGAACAACGTCCTTGCTGGTGAAGATGCCAGTAATAGCACCCGCATCTTGCACCAACACAGCCGTGGTGTGGTTCTCCTTCATCAAGGCAGCGGCCTCCTTTACCGAGGTCCTGACACTGACTGTTGTCGGGGGAATGCCATTCAAAACAGATTCCAAAGTCGGCCCAGACATTTTGGATCGAAGTGCCTCGACATACTGGATAATCTGCTGGGGCTGGGAAGCGCCCAGCTCGGAGTGCACACCTTCCAAAGCATCATAGAGCTTTCTAGAGGACGAGTAGGCTCGCTCCAGCTTCTCCATGGCATCGTAAAAGCACTTGGTGATATCCAAGACACCAGAAATGTCCTGGTTTTCGTCCATGACTGGCAAGTGGCGGAATCCCTTGCGAACCATCAGATCCAGCGCATCTGTGGCACTTGTGTCAGTGCGAGCACAGAGCGGGTTCTTTGTCATGATGTCCGCAATGGTGATATTGGCCGCCTTGTGCCCGGCTCCAACGACGCGGAAGGCAAGATCCTTGGCTGTGAAAATGCCGGCAATGCGGTCGTCGTCATCGGTGACCAGAACGCAGTCCTCTCGTTTCGCAGCCATGAGCTGGGCAGCCTCGGACACGGTGGTTTGCGGTTTGATCTGCAATGCCTGGCTGGGCTTGAGAGCCAGCACAGTGCCAGGAGGAGCTTTACGAGAATGCCTGGCGCGGTTCGTCAAATGCTTCTTCTTGGAGAGGTCGTTCTCCATTTTCCTGCGGATAGCCTGGAGCCAGGCAGTTAGCATGCGTGCACGCTTCCGCAGATGTGTCCAACTCCGAGACTCATGTAAACAATTGAACGCACCTCATCACGCTTGGTCTGCTTCTGCCGGCTGGCGCTGACGGAGGAGCTCGCCTCACTGGGCTGGCTATCCAGAACCGGGCGAGGGATGTTGGAGTTTGCCGGGCTGTTGGTAAAGGGGATGTTTCCCCTGCCCTGGTTGCGGTTGGGAGTCCCTCTCATGGTGTTCCCTGACATGTTTGCAGAGCGTTGTCGGCCGTGCCTCGTGGACAAAGGGGAGCGGTTGTGGATGTGGATTCAGAGACAACTCTCGAGGCCCGCAGAACTGCTAACGCCAGAGGGCAGATGCAAAGCACAGGAGAAAAGCTTTGGCGGGATTTTCACAGGTGAGCAAGATGGGAACGGGGGCTCTCTGGTGGTCTGGTCTCGTCTGGTCGGGTCTGGTCCCGGCAGATTACCGCGTTGGAGTTTCTCAAGACAAGCGTCACGTTGTCGAGGTGACAGGGATCGCTGAGACGAGAGCTCTGTGACTGGCCAGTCTCTCGTTTTTACCCCGCTTTTATTTTCTGGCCATTGGGAATGTTCCCAAAACAACCTGGTCTTTTTTTTTTTTTTATTTACGACTTGACATTGTTCAATTCAGCTTTAGAAGCACGGCCGAGGCCAGAACAAAGGCTGGTGGTTTTGTGGAGTGAAGCCTATGCTCGAGCGTGATACTCAAGACTCCCGACCTGTCCATTTTCAACTTCAATCCACAAAGACGAGGTAGCCAACTTAACATCTCCTAGCACAAACTCAATTGCCCAAAACGTCAACATTGAGGCCTCTATGGTGGCCTGTTCTCCGGCCAACATTGCGCCCTCTACTCGTTGCTGGTGCGTCTGGTATTCAGCAGTCGTTATCATGCGATGTTGGGCAGAGTCATGCCACCACCTCAGCAACTCACGACGAGGCGGGCTGAGCCGAAGAGTGCCCACCTTTCTTGCCAGAGCGAGAGTGAGAAAGAAAGAAAGAATCTGAATAAATTTCAATCAGAGTCAACTAGAAGCACTATCCACCCTCAGCTTCCTCTTGTGTGTCATTGATAATAATTAATTTTTAGTTGTTTCGCTCTGTAGTCAAATGAAATTACACGCATAATACAAGTATCGTGCAAGCGTAAAATCTAAAACAGTATTGGGCTGTACCAGGCCCAGGACAGTAGGAGACTAGAAAAGTAGACCGTCTACGCATCGTGGTGTGTCATTGATACAATAATATCCCTTCTCGTCTGGAAGGCGCTACCCTGTACACATCCATTGTCCTCCTGGCCAAGGCCAAGAACGTAGAACTATAAAAGCGACGAGCAAGAAATAATGACCCAATCAATACTCTCGAGTACGAGATGTGATGTGCACAAAATGTCTATCCTTTGCACGCGCCGGCAGCTACGTTCCAATTGGGCGAATATTGGTTGTGCTACTGCACGACAACGTGGGCATTCTATTTGGCGTCCATGTTCGGCATCAGCAAGAAACATAATGCGAGATATCCCTTCGAATTGATAACTCGGTGTCCCTGCTTGTCTCAGTCTTCACCCCGAGGGATAGCAGGAGGCTCCATTGTCATGAAACAAGACAGGCAGAACATGCACAGAATAGACAGCTCGGAAAAGGGAGAGAGACTATGCCGGAAGAGATGTAGTTATCATCTACTCCGCATATACAGTACTGCTAGAATATTCTGTCAAGGATTGACGGGCAACATCGACTATGTATGCTCCGAACCTCTGCGAACCCAAGCGCTCACATGCAAGCCACCCGCAATAACAGCATCATCCCATGACACCAACGGCATAACAAGTTAGCCGCTTGCTAAATCGGGAACAAGCATTGGGAATCGGATCGCACAAGACCACAGATTGAGACATGGTAGTCGGCGCCCTGGTGACGTGATGGAGGTGCCGCCAGCCTGCGCCAGGGAGGCTGAGGTCCTCTGTGAGTGGCCGCTGAGTGGCCGCTGAGTGGCCGCCGGCGTTGCCGTGGCAACCAAGTCAACAATTGCCGGGGTCATTACACCACCATGATGCCCAGCTACTCTGGTCCATTCATGTTGCATTCTGAATCCACTTGCCAAAACTCCATCCTTACTCTTCTCCAAGCTTCAGATAGAGCTCGAGAATACCTGCATATTGAAAACTCCGGCTCTCGGGGGAGAAGACCTCCAACGAACGGCCCAAGCTCGTCCAAGTTGACACACGTCCCATAGCCGAGCAAAGGCTCGCACTTATACACAGGACCCCAAGATTCGTGCAAAAGTCGCCCCCGACTGAGCACAACTACAACTTTTTTTAGCCCGGCGCTCTGTGCTTGCGCTGCGTGAGGTGAGTTCCTGCCACGCCCACGAGACGACCAACAATCGTCTTGACAAGATGGCGCAGTTTCGGACCCAGACGGTTCCCCATCGACAAAGAATATCGACCGACGACAACTTCCAACATCCGGACTCCCTTGCAACAATAATGCTGCCCAATTCGCCGACGGGTGTTCACGCCAGGCAGAGGCAACACCGCCGCCAGAATTCGACACCCTCTGCTCTCGAAGGCGTGAATATCTCGCCGCTGTCAAACGCCAACAACAGACGACAAGCCGCTGCCCACCGGCGCGGCCTCAGTCTCGACATGAGACGACAGCAGACGACACCACAGACAGCACGGCAGGACTTTAACCAGGTAAGAATGGCTACTAACAACACAGGATTAGCAAACACCTCGCAGCATCATGTTCTGCCAGAAGCGCAGCAGCAACGCACCCAAGCACGCCCGGGCCCCAACCAGATGCAGTACGCATCCATGGTATCAAATAGCAATGAGAGTTTCTTGATCTCGCCACATGGTACTCCTCAGACGCAGAGGTTCGCTCCGCCGTCATGTTTTGACACAAATGCTGGCCGCTTCTCGTTCCCGGCTCACGTGGACATGATGATGCGGAAGAACCAAGAGAACTACTACAACAACATGGCCGAGAGCGCAAGTTTTGACCTCTTCTCCAATAACAGCGCCCTCTCAACTCCCACCTTTATCAACTTTCCAGACAGCCCTGCTGGCCAGGTTTGGCCCGCCGATGACGCAAGTTCTCGACGGAATTCGAGGCGGATTAGCGACGGCATCATGGACCGTGTCAACAAGTTTGAGGGCATGGGCATTGAAGAGGCTCAAAGACCTACAACACCACCTAATCAGAATGGAACTAGTGAGTTTCTTTGGACACTATGCGACATGTTTGAAAAATGCTGACCACCGCTGCCAAAGATTACTACCCTCCCACACCAGTGGAAACTCCCCATGGCCGTATTTTCAAGCAAGAAGCCAGGCCAGGAAGATTTTCTGATGACTATGACGAATCAATGGAAGAAACCATCAAGCCCAACCGAAACAGCCGTTCTGGTCTCAGAACCCAGTCCGTCTTTGCACATATGAGACAGCAGGCCGAGCAAAATGCTGGCTCGCTCAGCCCCCCAGGGACAAACAAAATCTCCGATGCCGAATGCCTCAGTAGCCTCCAGATGCAAAACTCAGACTACATGAACATGAATGCTCTAAGACACGAGTTTGTCAAGATTGAGGACCAGAACGACGCAGCAAGACTTGAGCTCGACACCACCAACTCCCTATCGGATCTTTCTCATCACACTTCTCCGGACACTCAAAATCATGGACAGTTTGTTGGCGCTGCCTTTGAGGGCAAACTCGACTTGCAGCACGTTGCTCGCCCGGACTCGGCTGCGCAGTCCAGAAAGTCTTCGCCTCATCGTCGGACAGAGTCTGTGGCTTCCATGGCCAGCGCCGCCAGCATAGCTGACATCAACATTGACGAGACTCGCACTGATACCGGCGTTACCCTGGAAGAGATTTCTCAGTATATCCACAGTCCCGAAACCACGGACGGCAAGTGGATGTGTCTCTTTGAAGACTGTGGCAAGAAGTTTGGGCGCAAGGAGAATATCAAGTCGCACGTCCAAACCCACCTCAATGACCGACAGTACCAATGCCCTACTTGCAAGAAGTGCTTTGTGCGCCAACACGATCTCAAGAGACACGCCAAGATCCATACCGGCATCAAGCCGTATCCCTGTGAATGCGGAAACAGCTTCGCGCGCCACGACGCCCTCACGAGACACCGGCAGCGAGGAATGTGTATCGGCGCTTTCGATGGCGCTGTCCGTAAGTCGGCGAAGCGCGGCCGCCCTAGGAAACGCCCTGACCTGGAGACGAGGAGGGAGAAGTCTGCGAGAACAAGAAAGAAGAACATGTCGATTAGCTCCATGTCGTCATTTTCCGGCTACTCTGACAGCTCTGCCATCAACTCGCCGGACAACGAGTATAACATGCTTGACGACATGGTAGACTTGGATATTGTCAGTGCCAGAACCCACGGAATGCCATCCATGTCAACGGCTCCTATGCCTACGCTGATACCTAGGGTGATGAACCAAGACATGGCCCAGTCTCCTTCAGTTGTCAGCGCACACTCGTATGTGTCGCCAGAAGCCATCATGGACACGGCACCATCGCACCCAGCATCACCAGCAAAGAGCGGTGTCAGCCATTACAATACGCCGCCGCCGCCGGAGCTGTCCCAATCGTCATCGCCGCCACCATGTCACTTCTTCGACTTGGCTCCCAACACCTCTTCTGGCGCCGATCTGGCGGTCATGCCATCCACGAACGGCATGATGGGTTCTTCGGCCATGAGCGGAACTCTGCCCATGGGTATGGGCGACCAGGACGACGACTTGCTGCTGCAGTTTAGCCAAGACGACGGTGGTCTTGTCCAGCTGGATCGTGACTCAAACATGCTCATGTTGAGTAAGTTTGACGACGAGTTTGAGGCTGCGGTCAGCATGTTCACCAACAACGACGACATGTTCTTCAGCAACTCGTAATTGCGCACGAGTGGCCGACTGCCCCGTTGTCTTCCATTTTTGTCAAATATCGTCTAGGTATCTAATCAGTACGAAGCTAACGTCTCTGTGTGTCTGGTATGATGGGCTACGTTGGACTTGTCGGGTTGAATTTCTTTTTCTTGTACACGAGATGGCCCAACATGGGGTCTGCGCGTCTCATAATCGTCAATGGATTTAATGGGAATACTTTCTGCGACAAAAAAAAACTTGTATGATAGGGGGACTGGGGTAAAGGAATATTTATTTTCGATGCAGGGCGAACGGGTTTATGTTTTTTT